TAACGTTGCGAATTGCCGAATGTAAGTATGCGTACTTACCGCGGAAAAAAGGAGCAACATTACGTCGACGGCAGTTAATTAACACACGACCGACTAACATGCATTCATGATTTAGCGGGCATCTCATTTACTCGGATAACAAGCGCGCTATCGCAACACGCAATTAAATTCTACTATGCAAACTAATTGTTAGTCCAAATGATACGCATTCCACGCGAGCGTAATGGACACGGACGAAACTTGCGTCTCTTTTCGCTTAATAGCTCTTAATTTCACAATTAGTTGGCGAACGCGTTGATTGATAATTTGGTATTGTATATGATAATTTTTATCGCGCTTAACGTCCACTACACGCCTGCGGAGGATTAATTTTACAGATTTTATCGTAACGTCATTCTATCGTGGTACAATCACCATTGTTGTAGCAGCAATTTCTAAAAGTTCGTCGGATTTTTAGCCATACTTTATTAATACATTATCTGTAAGAGGATAAGCTCATCAGTAAGCAAACCTGCGTTACCGCCACGCCTCATCAATTTACGTATGACACATAATCAATCGCATGGAACGAATGAAATACATAACTAATAATAAGCCGATAATACGAGTCACAGATATGTCACAGATATGTCACAGATATGTCACGAGCTGCATTTATTTACCGTGTCTCTGATTATTCCAATGTTAATTGAACTTTGAGATAATCAATAGAAATTAATGCGCGGCAGTCAGCGTGTTAACCCCTTAACTGTGGAGGCAGAAATGGACTAGTGCCATTTCTGTGTTGGAAAAAAATGTTGTCGAATTTTCTTTATGATATTATTATAAAGATTTTTGGAGTCGCTAAATCTGAATTTGATATCAAAATTTCGAAATCAAAATGGCGGATAAAAATTTTGAAAATAATCGGATTTTCATGAAAGTTGGTATTTATATGTTTTTGGGATCACTGAATCCAAATTTGATATCAAAATTTCAAAAGTCAAAATGGCGAATTGAATATGGCAAATCTAAATTTTGAAAATAATCGGATTTTCATGAAAATGAGTGTGTTCAGACATTTCGTCTGAACAAAAAAAAACAAACATTATAAAAACAACAAAAATTAAAAATTATAAAAACAAAAAAAATATATAAAAATAGAGTCAGAATTTGCTACGTCCTCATTTCGTGATTCCGGGTTCGGCAGAGAGCGGTATTATGTAAATGTTTTTTTACTTAAAAATTTTTTATTCCACTATTTGGAATTTTGAAATTTTGATATCAAATTCGAATTCAGCTCCCAAAACATATAGATACTCACTTTCATGAAAATCCGATTATTTTCAAAATTTTGACCCGCCATGTTGGATCCGCCATTTTATATTTCGAAATTTTGATATCAAATTCGGATTCAGCAACACCAAAAACATGTAAATACTCACTTGTATGCAGAAAACAATAGTTTTACTATTTTTTTCTACGATGCATGTATACACATCATCCACACTAATGGCATGACTTTTTCATTCGCATATACACGTCATCCACAGTCAAGGGGTTTTTGCCATTTTTCAGGCAATTGATTTTGCGTCCGTACGTGAAACCTTGGAGCCAATGAGATCATGAACGATCCGACGAACTTTTGCAAGCATTTGTTACTTTAACCGGACGACATACGTCTTTCTTCAAAATGTATTCAATTGCGCGAAAAGAAAAAACGTACATACAGAAAAAGAATTAACCGCGAGAGCTAAAATATACACCATGAAAAAATACTTAAAATTTATTTATGTGATATAAAATTTATTCACAGAAAGAAATCATATTTTAATAAGTAATAAATTTTATATGCCATAAGTAAATTTTCAAATATTTTTTCTCGATGTAACCGTAATAACTGATATGCTATTAAAATAGAAATAGTTAATGTCATTGTTATCGAAGCTAAATTTATTAGTTATTTGAACTTCAACGCTACACAGCCAAAAATATTCATTATGCTGAGAAAAAAATACTTGAAAGTTTATTTGAGGGATATAAAGTTGATTTCTCAGAAACAAAGTTCATTTCTATGAAATCAACTTTGTATCCCACAAATAGATTATCCCACAAAGAAATATATTTTTCTCAGCATACTAGATAGAAAGTTTTTATAACATAATTTTTCTTTTCATTTAACTAGCGCCTTAAACCGTTGAAAACAAAACTAATACTTCGGTTCACAAATCCAAGCCAAAATGTTTCTCATTAGTTTTAACCTAGATTAATGTCCACTTTAATGCAAATATAAAAGTCAGATCATAAATCCAAACCTAGGTTTCTTGTTAGTTTTAATCTAAATTAATGTTCGCTTTAACGCAAACATAAAAAATGATGTTTTTCGTACTTACATTATCACGTAATCCGATCCTTGTTCCGTGGAAGGACAATTTTACATCCACCAGAAGCGCGATAATTTTCCTATTCCAATGATCTTTGTTTCAAGTCGCTACGACATCTACAAGTGGAGTTATCGACGATTGTATCGATCCGCGCGTTTTTAGATCGTCCAGCGTTGTCGCTACAGCGAGCTGTGAATGAGTCACTACGCGACGTATGAATGGAATGCGGAACGGGTTACTACTTCCGGAGGTCACCTTACACTGTGCGCGACGGCACGCGACAAGCGTGCCTATCCCCCCTCCCCCCACCGCTACCCCCCCTTCCGCGATTCAGATAAGCATAGTGTGCTGCCTACGTACTCGCTGCGGCCACGCGGTAATTCATCTCACTTTAAGATATAAGACCTTAGCAGAATGACTGACTTGTAACTTCAAACAATATTTTATAGACTAAGTATAAGTTTGTCTTAAGTACTGTCTTGTGTCTCAAGCTTTTAATGTACATGAAATGTCAAATTTTGCAAGAGATAAATCCATGTATGTAAAGACATAAAAATAACAATTTTACTATACAATTAATAATAGATAAATATTTTTTAAATTTCTGTAACATAATATATTTATCCTCATAATTATAAATTATGTTATTACATATAAAGAAGTCGTTATTACATATAAATATGTAATAACAGTTTCTCATAAGTTGAAATGTATTTCAATAAATGAATGTAATTTAAACTCATGAGTGAACTATACATATATAGTTCATTCATGAAGTTAGATTATATTCATTTATTGGAATTTAACATGATAAATAAACGTAAAAATAAATAAAATAAAAAGAAATAAAATAAAAATTGTTATTTTCAAGTCTTTATATGTATGTAAAGAAATGCGACTACTAATAATAGATAAATATTTTAAAAATATTTTTGACACGTAGAGTGTTATATATATATATATATATATATATATATATATATATATATATATATATATATATATATATTTATTTATTTATTTGTATTTATAAATATATATATATGTATATACGTATACATGTATACATATGAATGTTGTAATCAATTAAAGCACGGCAAATGCGATAACATGAGTAACACATAATTTCTTTCATATACGACCGAATAGTTCAGATTTCTTTTTTGCCTTGTCCATTATAATATGTCTATTGTAATGATGATATTAATATCATGTTATGTAGATTAGAGTAAGGAATAATTCATGTCGTGGTTACACAACAAATCAATATTGTTTACATTATATGTTACGTAATAGCGTTATGTTATACGTATATACATTATTACACAACTACAATTCAATATCGTGATAATTTGTAAAATTATCAATTCGTGATAATTTGTAAAATAGTAAAGAACTGTAAGTCTAGTTTCATGAACTTGCACACGAGAATTGATACGTGTTGTATATTTCGTTATATATTCAGTATATATTATCAATGCTAATAAAAATTATATATATAATAATAAAATCGTAAAGAGAGAGAGAGAGTCAAACTTTTGCTGTTTTATATATTCATTAATTATATGGATTTAGGTGCTCGTGTGTAAGTAGAACTTGTTAAATTGAATAAAGAAATCCTGAATGAAAAGATCCTCAAGAAATCCTGAAAAAAAGTTTAACTGGACTAACTAAATTTCTAGTGAAATAATCCAGAAATTCCAGCTGAAATTACCAAAATTCTGCCCAGATTAACAAGAATTCTGGCAGCTTCAACCGGAATTTTCATAAATTGATACACTTCTCACAGATTAGAGAGAAACCCAGGTTTTGTAAAGTTGATCTTGAGGCTAAGCTCTGCGTAATAATTCAACTTGCAAGTAGCTCAACGAGCAAGCAGAAGAGGCAAGATCAAGGAAGTAGGCGTAGCCTGCTACTCAAAAATCGTCTCGAAAGTGCAAAAATTCCGAACTGATGTTGAAATGAATATAAACGTCTAATGAGTCTTCACGACTCTCTCTCTCTCTCTCTCTCTCTCTCTCTCTCTCTCTCTCTCTCTCTCTC